AGTATCAGTTAGTGAAAGTTTGGGGAACTTTCAATAAAAATTTATTGTTTCAGAGAAATACAACATAAACTTGCTAAGAATCAGTTGGAGATGAATTTTCAAGTTAATAATGGCTAATTTCATTTGAAACTCTGATAAAGTCAAGTTCAGGAAATTGCTAACAATCAAAACAAAAAAACAAAAAACTTGCAACATTCTCAGAATCATTTAGATGAGTATCTTCATTGTTGTTTTCAGTACAGTGTTACGGTTGATGTTCAGTGGTCTTTTTAAATGTTACAACATTTAGAATGTAACCTTGAGTTAGTCCAAAGAATACATCAACTGATTGAAATGCTATGTTCAAAATGACAAGCTGAAGGCATGGCATTCAAATAATTCATGGTAAAATATTTTCACACACACACACACACACACACATGTGTGTGTGTATATTTTTGTGTGTATATATATATATATATATATATATATAATGAGAGTAGTAATTGTTAAGACAAAGCACAGGTTCTTTTAATCTTTTGGAAATAATGGTGAAGTGGGGGAATGTGCAGGCCCAAGCAGCATATCCAGAAATTAAAGTAATTTTTCTTATAATAAATTGCAAAGCAATACATGACTGTTTTGCTGGAAATTTCAAATACCTCCATCTATAGAAATCTTTCTCTTTTTTTTTTTTTTTTTTTTTCCCCCAATCATGGCTAGCAGTTGCAATAATTCAGTTTATAAAAACTGTTATCAAAGGAAGATATTGCCATAAAAGTCCTTCTCTCTAAATAAAGATTCTGTTAATTTCTTGTTTGTTAATCTTCCATTGGTAAATATTTAATTTGGCTGCTAAACCTATTTTGACAATTGTTTCCTAAAACACAATCTTTGTTTTGAATTTATTTGGTAAAATTGTAGAAAATAGTAATATCAGTCATACAGTAATTTAAAAATAAATAATTAAATGTGCAATTAAACATCCTCTCATGTACCAGGAACTAAAATCTTAAATAACACTCATCTAAAAAAAAAACAACTTTCATAAGTTGCTACTAAGAGAAGCTGACTTGATGTAAAATACAGATGCATTTTATTTATATTTTGCAGGAAATATGATTTTCATAGTTGGTGCAGCGTTTATTTAATAATTTTGGAATTGTAAAAAAAAATTATTAAATATAAGTAAATTTCTTAAATATTACTGGAAAAAAAATAGCACCAACCCTAGGTAATCATATTTTGTACAAAGGATTTTCCATACATATCTGCTCTATTTTTGTTTTTACTAATGATTTCTGATGACTTCTTTCTTAATCTACTTCGAGAGAATTTTTTCTCTGTATCTTTGTACAGTTTTAGTATTATTGACAGTCTGGTTGTATTATTTACTAAAGCTTGAGTTTTGGCACAAAGCTACAAATGTGGGTCACTCAATGATGATTGAATTCAGTTGTACAAGGGCTGCAGTAAAGTTCTTGAGCTGACCAAGAAGCCTTTCTAAACAAATCTGATTATTGGTCAAATTTTGGTAAGTGGGTTGGGTGGAGAACCTTTCTGCACCCTAATATAATAGGTTGCTGGACCATCTTGCTATCACTACTGAAGTGTACTTGGTCTCACTGTTAAGAAAAGTTGTAAAGAGTAATTTACAATATCTGATTGAGATGTATATTTATGGCATATTAAAAAAAGATTTTCAAATTTTTTAATGGGTAATTATTTTTAATAACCAAAAGTTTAAAAAAAAAAAAAAATGCAGATTCTTTATTTAAAAAGCTCTTGTTTCCAATTCCGATGCTGTCTATCAACTGATTGGTTGCATATTTCAACCACTAACGAAACCTTTAAGTCTCTGACAACTTGCATTGTCAAAAAAAATTAATAACCAAATCATTTACGATTCTATCTAGCAGTCCAAGTTATGTTCATTATTGAAGTCTGATATTGAATTTCTTAGTTAATATTTTTTTCTTTCAAACTATATAAGATCAAAGATTCCTTTGAAATTGCAAATCAGATATTGTCATTTTATGCCACACCAAAACAGATTCAGCGTTATTAATGTTATATAGTAGTTTTAAAAAGGGTGTGAGTACCATCCATCTGTATATAATTGTTCTACATTTTAGGATTGGAGGAACGACAAATTTATAGCTATATTATCTAGTAGGACCAAAGCAAGAAGTAAATAATGTTTAATAAGAACAATTCTTATTTCAAGTGGCACAATAAAAAGAAACTGCTGTGAGGAAATCTGTTCAGTTGATCATAAGACATTTGTAGAGAGCACACATATGAAATACTGAGGAAACTCTGATAATCTTATCAAATGGTTTTTCTTATTAAAATCAGTTTGTATCAAATACCTTCTTTAAAATTAATAATTATCCACTTATTATGACCAAATTTCCCAGTATTGAAATTTAAAAGTGGTTAATAAAATATAATGTCAGAAGTTAAAAAAAAAAAAAATTTCATGAAAAATTAAAAATATGAATCTGAGCAGTTTATTAATAAACTATTAACAGTATAATAAACTATTAACAGTATAATAAACTATTAACAGTATAAGCACAGTGATCTCAATTTTGCTTATTCAAAGTTTCTTCTATTTGATTCACAAGTTGAGCCAAAAGTTTCAACTATGAACATCATGGAGGAGATCAAAGGTTTCAGTTAAAATACTGACACATGGTCAGTTGAAATGTGTAAACAGGTTTGTCTTTGTATGTCAAACAAAAAAAAATTACTTTGTTGCCATTTTCCGTATTGGTAAGATTTGGTTTTTCTTCTTATTGGCCTCAGTGACAATCTCAACAGATTTATATTTTTATTTGTTCTGTATCTTGACCTCTCTGTAGTGGTATGGTCTCGTTAAATTTATCTTGTGAATGCTGAATGAAAAATGAATTCTCAGCAATTCAAAAGGCACAATTGCTAATCACTGAGATGAGTCCCTCACGTGGAAAAAATTTTCTATGAATGCAGAAAGTAACTCGGTTGTTTTTTTTTTATTATACCTATAACATTGCAACTATTTATCAACTCATCACAGTACAAACAAAGGTTTATATGTTGTAATATGAACCATTTGTTTGAAATGGAATTATTTTTTGACCTGTAAGCACCTGTACCAGGACAATCTTGCAAGCCATTGCTTGTAATTTTGGTTCTCAGTATTGTCAGAATGGGCCAGACTCAAAAATATCTGTACCAGTAATTATTTTATGGATGTAAAATTCTAGTTTATTCATGAAAACTAATCTAACCTCATTAGAATTCTACTTACCTTAGTGCTCCAAACCCAGAATTTCTGTGATCCACTGTACATAATATTTGGATTGAATTCAAAGGTAGTTCCACCTTTCAGTGACATTTCGCTCAATTCTCTCTCAGATCAGAACATGACCAAGAACTATATCTGTTATTCTAGATACCAACATATGATGTATATACCTTTATAAAATGTTTCAGTTTTCTTGTAAATATTTAATAATTTGAAAAACCACCTTGATAAGACAATCTAATAGATATTGACATGCTCTATACAAACAAAATACTTCCAATTAACTTTTTTTCTTTCTTTGTTTTCCACCACTGAAGAGGGGAAAAATTGAATCTAGCCATTTTGAACATCTTAACAGGTTGTTCAGCTTCAATATAACTTAAGCAATTAAAGGGGACATTGCGATGCATGCATGAACGCTCTCCCACAGCATTGAATAAGCTTTCATTTGCAATAATTGAGCAAGTAGATTCTTCTTTAGACAAAAAAAAAACTCACTTTAGTGTAAGTACCTTCACTACATTCCAGATTTGGTCTTTTTCCAATATTTTAAGCGCTATTAACACAGCATGGACAAATTTAAGGGAAATGTGGCAATCTCAAAAGAGGAATTTTTACTGTCTTGGAAATTGGATAAGACACTAGGGTAAGAGTGAGGTTCTAAGACTAATGTGGAGGACTTATGGGCGCCATTGACCGCAATAACTTTTTTTTTTTTCTTTTTTCAATAGTAAATGACT